CGGCGAGGGGCCCGGGGGCCGAGGGGCAGAGCGGGGCCCGGCTCGTCCCGCGGCTCTGCCCGCCGGGCAGCGCGGTGAGGGCCGCGTGGGGATGGCCCCGGGCCCCACGGGGGGCGGGTGGTCGGTCCGTGCCCGGCCCGGCGCCCCCGGGGCGGCGGAGCTGCGAGCCCAAGCTTGGCGCCAAAGGTGCCCTGGGGAGAGGCGGCTCGGGCGGGACGGCAGCGCTTCCCCGCCGCAGTGCCCCTCGCCCGGAGTCTGTAACTCGTGCTTTGGACTCTTAATAAAGCGTATGGTGGGAGTATAAACGTGGGATGAGGTGTTATAGTGTGGACTCTTTTTTTTTCCTGTTCTCCCCTGGTAGTCAAAGCAGTTTCCGTTGGTGGGGCACTGGTGAAGTCCCCTGTAGGAAGTCGTCTGTGCTTACAGTTCTTGAAGCATTTGTGTGTTTTCCTGTAACCTGCTTAGTAAGATAGCTTATGTTTAGTGGGAAATGCTGCATAGTAGAGTTAAATGTGCTTAGCGTTGTGAATGCATGCCCTGTAGTTCTTTAGCCTATTTGCTTTTAAGTTATTCATTACTTCTGAAGTATTACTGAGACTAAGCAGTTTGGTTGAGCTGTGTATGCCCACAGAAGTACTTGTAAGGGAATCTCAGTCTGCTGTGTGAGTGAGGTTAGGAGTGTACATGGCAGATCAGCACACACTAGATAGAGACGCTTGTTCGTGACCCACTTTCTTTGCTGAAATCACTTTGTTTTCTAGTTGGGGTTTTTTTTAGGCCTATGTACTAGACAGAAACTGTCGAAGAAGAGTCCTCCTGATATAATGGATGCTGTAGTTGGAAGGTGGATGACTTTTATTTAACGGTATTTCAAGTTTCAATTAATCTGAGACATCCTCTTAAGGCTGTAGTACAATTCAAAGGCTACATCACAAGCACTTCGATCCTTCGTGTTGATTGTGGCTGCTGTAAAGTAACCTTTTTGGTATCTAGTGCCAAACTTATTTGTGAAAGCTTTGTAGCTTGTTGGCAGTGCCAAGGCAAATCTTGATGCCAGTGGTTCACCCTTGTTGCATAATAATACTCTTTAGGTGTTGCAGATAATGGCCAAATCTGTGCTCTCCTTTGTAAGAAGATGACTTTCCTACCATCTGTATTATTTAAGGGAGTTGCATTGTTGATGAGAGCTTATTTAAATCAATGTATGAACCTAATTGGAGGACAGACCTGCATTAGTGTGGGCTTGACTGTCTTCTCCACTAAGCTATTCAACAATGTTTGCTTTTCTCAGATCAGGTATTTTTCATCTCGTGCATGTTTAACATGAGGTCATGTTGCTGTTGGAACAAACTAGAGAGAAGTTAATTAAAAAGTCATAGGGGAGAGCTGAAAGCACTGGAATTAAAGCTGACTGCAATTAACATATTGGTGTAATTTTCACTATCGTGATAGAAATGTGGATTCTCTAAGCCTATGATATTTATATTATGATTTGAAGTATCACATGTGAAATCATTGTCAAAGTACATTTGATTCCCTTAGGAAACAATACATGAACTTTTTGAGCTTATCCCATTCAAGTTGCTGTAATCGCTGCTAATTGATATGTACAGTAGAATCATGCCAGAGTGTTTAAGTGATGCTAACTAGTATATGCTGTGCTTCAAAATATTGTTGACCTTGGTATGGACAGGCACATAAAATTAGCTAGAAATGGCAATTCTGAGTTTCTGCTGGAATTAGTACAATGATGGCATTTCTGAAGGTCAGGTCTGGGGAAGCAGGTTAATTTTTGTAATAGGGGAAAGAAAGAGACCTTCTAAAGGGGCATTCTTTTTCCAGATGTAATGGATGTGAGAGATGATGGGTCTCCAGCAGTTTTCCAAGTACAGTTCTGCCATGTATCACTTCAGTAGGGAAACCTGTTTAATTAGCCTTTAATGGAACTTTGTCCTGGAGTTTTTAGGAATGATTGCAAATCCTTATTAGGTAGGTAGGTGGGTTGCACGGAGCAGTCCATGCTCCTCCAGTGGAAGGATGTCTCTTCCAGGAGTGTACCTTAGTACAACACTGGCGGCTGCAGGATCTCTGGGCTGGCAGATGTTCTGCAGCAGCTGTTTTGTGCCTATTGATTTTGACCAGCTGATGCTCAGCACTCAGTGATAGAAGAGGAACAAGGCTGGGTCCAGGATCCCTGTGGCAGGACACAAGTCTGAAGGATGCTGCAACATTTTAAGCCAAACTTAATTTTTCTTTGGACTGCAGACTTTGCTGCTGTGTTGTCTGTAGGCTGTGGTGTGGTAGCCCAAATGTCCCAAGCTGCATGTTTTTCAGCTCCACTTGCTCCCCATGGAGCCCATTTCACACGCAGTTGCACCTGAACTCCTGCTGAATGCTATTATATACCCCTCTGATATATCATCTTCATAGTTTTATAGAATGTATAAAAACTTAAATCTAAGATGGATGCAAAAAAGTAGTATGATTTTCTATTGTACTGAAGTAAAATAGCAATAATACTTTGATATAAGTATTAATTACCAGTTATTTGTGGCATCTGGCTAATGATACTGTACAGAATGCTTTGCAGTAGTGAAATGTGGAAGTTCAGGAGGTCCAAAGAAGTCCAAACCCAGCAGAAGTTCTTCCCAATTTACTCAGTTGCAGACAAAACCCTCTGTTCACACAGTTGTGTAGGAGCTGTTAGAAGTCTGAAAACACAATCAGATCGCCATAAAAATAACTATAACAGTCTCAAAACTATTTCAGAGCCAGTGATGTTTTTATTCTCTGAAAGAGTCCTCATGTAAAGTGTTACACAGCTGTCGTGCTGGCCAAGCTTGATGGAAACAATACCGGAAAGAGAACCCTCTAAGACAGTTCAGTAGAGTTGATTGTAACACACTGTGGAGTAGCAGCAGAGTCCTGCTTTGAAATGGTAATCTCATTTCAATTTTAAATATCTAATTGTATTACATATATAGAACTTTGCTTGTGATAGTGTCACTACACTATTGTAGTGTTACTAAACGATCTCAGTAGAGCAGCTGAAAAATTTTTCTGGAAAGGGAAATTCTCACACTGCAGACCCTTCTTGGTATGTTCCAGTCACAGCAGTGGAGGAGTGTGGGGCATGTTACAAAGGGGTTTCTTAACCTCCCAGTACTGGTCCTTGGAACAATCTGCCAAATAGAAATGAGCTTTGGGCTGACTACTCCTGAGAAATTTTTTGAATGCATTGTTTAAAAGTGACTGAATGTGCATGAGTTTTGTTGGAAAGGCCTCTTCATTTGCTGTTGTTAGTGCATTAGTGACATAATGGGATTTTTATTATTTTAGTTGAACAGTGTAATTTATCTTTCTTCCGCTAGAGGGCCCAAGCATGCTTCCAAATACCCCAGGAGAACTGCAACTTAATTAATTTTTAAAATAAATTTGCGTGATTTTAATTGAAGTTAAAATTCTGCATCATGAAACACATACAGACTTTGGTGATGCTTTGTGCTTGTTTAAAGTACAAGCACTGTATATCAGCCGAGAGAGCACTGGTTAATGTGAGTAATACGTGGTAATGAAGGTTTATGTTTTTCCTTGATTAGAACATTTCTTGTTGAGTGTAGTACAAGGCTGTTTATTTTTGCATTGAGATGAGAACTGGTGTATTGGCACTGACAGTGTGTTCAACAGTAATTGTTCAGAGAGGCTCTGAAATGGTGTTGATCTCAGGCTGCAGTTTGTCCCTGACATCTCCTGGGAGTGAGTTGTTGTATTTTGCAGGCCACCATAATTGATTTTGGTTTTTTGGTCACTTGACTTTTGCTACACAGGGTTTTTGTAACAACTTTGCAGGTTGTTTCACTGGTGTACAGGTGTGGTCAGTGGGTTCTGAATAGGGGTGTTGTTAAATGTATGGACTGTAATTTAATTAATCTATTTTTGTTGTCTAATAGACATCAAGTATAAGCTTGTTATCATGACTGTCTTTTTGGTAGTGGAGAAAGAAAGGTGTACACTGAAGGCAGCTCTTGCTGTGAGTGTGGTTGGACACTGGAATGAGGCTGAAGAAGTGGTGGGATGTTCATCCTTAGAGAGACATTCAAAACTCAACAAGACTGAGCCTTGGGCCAGCTCACGGTCCCCTCCAGCCTCAATTATTCTGCAATTCCAAAAGGAGATTTTATTAGTTGCTTTGCTCTACTGCTGTTTAAAACAAAAGTAAATACATGGAAAAGGGATAGTTGACTTTCTGAACTAGTTCATAACTTCAGTATTTTGCGTTCAGTTCCAGCTTTCCTTTTGCTTCTGAGGACCTTGATGTGGTGGTATTAGACCAACAGAAAAAGTATGTGTGTCTGCATGTGCTCTTTTCCTTCTTAAATTGCAATCCTCAATGGGGGGGGAAAAAGAAGCCATATAAAGGGAGTGCTATATTCCTTCATTTCACTGCTGCACTTGCCAAATGCCATCTCTGTCCTGTCATTAGTTTATATCGTTATTCCCAGTGTCTCTCTGTAACAGGGATGATAGATTTTCTCTTTTTCTTTTCCCTAGGATCTTTCCTAGATTTTCTCTTCTGCTCTTCAAGAGCAGTTGTCCCTTCCTCTGCATCTGACTGTGATCCTATTTTTCATTCCTTTTCCCATTGTCAGTATTTGTCCTGTCCTGCAACCTTCCTGCTTCTCTTCCCTTTTCTGGCTGGAGACAAATCAACATGTCCATGTGTACTAGAAGGATGGACATAAATGGAGTATTTTGGTGAAAGGGATGTTGTTGCCTGCAGTCAGTTCTATAGACAAAGAGGTATAACCTGCTCTGATTCATGGCCCTACTGATACATGTTGAAGTTCTCCATTTGCACTATTTTGGTCTTCCTTTCTAATTTTTTCCGAAGTCCATAGCTTTCAGTTTATTGAGCAATGGACCACACAGAGTTTGCCAGCTGAGCCAAAGACAGAGAAATTTTTAAATACATTATTTTTATGATAGATGTGTATGTTTAAGAGGATTTCTTTCCAGAAGTGATATATTCTACTTTTGTGTAGGAAATTGGCTGCGTGGCCGTGCAACTGCTGTTATGAGTAAAACAGACTTTACTTTGCATGTGACTGGAAACTAAAGTGATGAAAGCAATTCCCTTCTTAGCAACCTAGTAATGGAAAACGTAGCTATAGGACTAAAAAGTTAATGATATGTCTTGGTTAGCAGCATGTGTTATGGTTTGGTTCAGATTTTTTTTTTACTGAACAAATTTAATAGCAAGTATGAAATAGAGTGGGTTTAAAAATATGTATTTCTAGGAAATCTTTGACGTAACAGAAACAGAAAAGTGTCATTTGTCTACCTGTATTTTTGCATACTCTGTCTTACATGGAACTTGGCTGTAAGAGGATGGTATCTAATCACGATGAGAGGGTATCAGCTGGTATCTCAGTCATGTCTCAAAACTTAGTTTGGTAACTGTAGACAGTTGAAGCAGGTAGTAATATTTGTTTTCAGGCAAACACTTCATACATCTGATGTATGTAGTACAATAATATGTTTGTTGTGTTATTTTGCAACTGGGAATACAGAAATTATACTTTAGGGTGAACAAAAATAGTGATGGACAGGATGTCAGGAAGGTGTTGTATTTCATAACTATCTCAATGCGTTTACATAGTGGTACCTCTTAAATGCATGTGGGCATTTTGGGTGAGTGGATGTAGTGCCTTTGGGTGTGTGACATGGCAGCCACGATGTTGTAGTACCCTTTGAAAGCTGGACAGAGCTGCAGAAGGTTGCAGAATCAGGTGAGAGCTTCTAAACCACCTTCTGCTATAAGAAATGTGCATCCAGTTCAGTTTAAAATTTAACTTCACAGCTGCTGTGGTTACAGCATTGTAATACTGAAATCTCCACCCCAGTATCAGTTCTGTTTGGCTGGCAAAAGTAATTCTAAAATCAAGCTGCTTATTTTGATCAACAAAGCTCGTTCTCATGGCTAGAATGCCAGCTCCAATTTTTGAACTTTTCAGAGTAGTTCAGAAATAATAATTGAAAAAAAGAGCAGCATGTGTGTACTTAAAATAGTATTAATGTTTTTGTTTTGCCTTTATATTCCTGTATGTCCTTCACTAGATGTCACTAGTAGATTTGGGAAAGAAACTTTTAGAAGCTGCACGAGCAGGTCAAGATGACGAAGTTCGCATTTTGATGGCAAATGGAGCACCTTTCACCACAGACTGGGTAAGGAAAACTTTTGCAGTGTTTGGTAGATCATCTTACTTTTCTCACGTGAAGAAGAAAATAGTATTGTTACAATTATGCATTTATATTTCAATTCTTCTTGGAATTCTGCAGTCACATCATCTAATGTCTAATTTGAAATTAAAACTGCCTGTTTCTTCATATAACCTCCTACTGATTTTAGTAACAGACTGTGAATGAGCTCATTCTTGTGACTTTTAAGATGAACTTTGGAGCTGTTAATGGGAGAAAGCAATAATCATCCTCCTAGTTATTGTGTTTATGCATTTAGTATATTAAGAGGTCTGAATTATGAAAGCAGTCCCAACTGCCTAATGTGTGCAGCTGAGAGTTCCCTGATACAGGGGCTCTGAGTTGTCAGAGGTGCATATTTTTGAATAGGTTGTATAGGGAGGTCAGGTACCTAAAATTCCCAGGGTATTTATAAGCTCTTAAGAGCCTTAATCTGCTTAGTGACCTAACTTTCAAATTAACTCTGTTTTGAGGAGGAGATTGGACTTAAGTGACTTCCAAAGGTCCCTTCCAATGTTGGTATGGTGTGACCAACCTTAAAAATGGGGTTAGGCCCCTTGAAATGTTACACTTCATAAAGGCAGAAAAACCACAGAAAAAAGAAAACAACAACAAACTCTCCCTCCTCCTCTTCATATTCTGTAAAAGCCCCAACAGCTCCTTTCCTTGAGACTGCAAGGGAGAATGATTTTTAAGTGCTGGCTTGACACCTGGGTTTGATAGCTTCAGAATAAGAAGAAATACTTCATACTGGCATCCATTAAAACTCCACATTTTCTGTTCCATTCCAGCTGGGAACATCTCCACTTCATCTAGCAGCACAGTATGGACACTACTCAACCACAGAGGTGTTGCTGCGAGCAGGTGTAAGTCGGGATGCCAGAACCAAAGTGGACAGAACTCCATTACACATGGCAGCATCAGAAGGCCATGCCAGCATAGTAGAAGTCTTACTTAAGGTGAGCACTGCTGAAACAAGTCTGAGATGGGAATATTGCAATGGTTTACAATCAGATATTTGCAATTTTCTTTTAGTCACGAAACTAAGATTGAAATTACATGAACAGTTATACTGTGTGCATTGGGAGCTTTGTTCTCCTGTTAATGCTAAAATAAATTACAGCTTAAAGTCATCAGGATTTCAAGTGAATTATTTACTGCTATTTCAAAATAAGTCTACTCCCTAATTTGACATTGTGTTTAGTAAGAGATTTTAGAACTGAGATATGTTTTAGGGAACTTTTAATGAACTTGTAAATGTAAGATAACAAGGCATTCCTGGTGGAGAAAGACAATTTTGGGCTTCATTCTGGTCAGATACTTCTAATGACATAGTTTATGCAATGATCTTGTTTGTAGCATGGTGCTGATGTCAATGCAAAGGACATGCTCAAAATGACTGCACTTCACTGGGCTGCTGAGCATCACCACCAAGAAGTTGTAGAACTCTTGATAAAGTATGGAGCAGATGTTCATGCTCAGAGTAAATTTTGCAAAACAGCATTAGATATTGCAGTAGACAACGGGAATGAAGACATTGCAGAAATATTACAGGTAACTTTTGATTCCTGTACTTGATTACACGTCATAAACTAAGCTTTTAATATAGCAGTTGTGACACTATTTAATGACTGATAATGCCAAACTCCAGTCTAGTTCACTACATGGAGATGAGATTGTTAGTAAACATTACTTGGCTGAAGAACATTTTCATCACCTACAAAATTAAGGATATATGTCCTTTATTTTTCTTAAATTTCAGCATTGTAATACACAGAACAAAGTGGACTCTTCACAACTGAAGTGTAAAAAATTAACTCCCTACTCTGACAGTACGTTTTGACTATACCCTGGTGTTCATTTAGCTTCCTACATGGATATTAATTTCCTAACAATTGGAGATCAAGACAGGAGAGAAGAGATGACAATTTTTCCAGAAGCAGAAAAGCTAGGATTGAATTGTTGGAGAAGTGATTGTGATCAGGATTATAATAGATACTTCCATGGAAATGTGTGCTCACTGTTCAATACTATTGTTAAGGGCAAAATAAGTGATAAGCATTATTGAGAAAATAATAGAAAGCAGGTGAAAAATACCATTGTGACACTGTATAAATCTGTTGCTTCCCTACATCTTGAATTGTCTGAACTTCTGATCTGTCCCTTTAGCCTGCTCTTCATTGCAGAAAGGGTAAAGAGAAGGTAATAATAATTCAAAGAAAGACAAAAAGGATGCTACCATGTACATTTCATAGCAATTGCTAAGCTGTCAGAGCAGATTTTCATGGCCTGTATCTGCCCCAACAGTCTTGGTTCTTCAGGCTTCTGTTTTAGAAACGTGAGCTTGCATATCTGCAAAAGGGTTTTGTCTTTATGTGGTCCTCTTTATTTAGAGTAAATGGTAGGGAGAAGTAGTGGTGTGTTGCTGCACTTTTTGTCTTTAGATTTCTGCCAAAAAAAACCCGTTTATGTTCTTGGAGACATGATGTGTGTGTATTGCATGAGTATAATGAGGGAGATCCCTGTTTGTGTGGAATGGCAATAATTCGAGCTCTTACACAAGGTAAATGACTGGTTTATACCTGCAATTGAAATGATATGATTGCCTTTGTCTCCTAGATTGCAATGCAGAACCAAATCAACACAAACCCAGAGAGTCCAGACACTGTGACGATACACGCAGCAACACCACAGTTCATCATTGGACCTGGAGGGGTGGTGAACCTAACAGGTCTGGTATCTTCTGCAAATACATCCAATGGAACAGGTATTCAGATGCCTATAGGATAGCCACTGGGATTTTATGCTTTGATTTTCACACTTAGTGAAAAGCTTTGAGGAAAAACAGTGGTAAGAATAGTTACCATGTTCCTCTTCAGTGTTTTTTATGTGTTGTAAATACATATGTGCCTAAAACAACAATCTTCACAGAGCTAAATTATCAGAAGTTGTACTTGCCTAACAAACAGCTTCAGAATAGCACCTAGGTTCAGCAGAATGCTGCTGAAAATGGAGTGTGTGTTAGAAGCTTTAGTGCAATAATAATAGAAAAAGAGACTTTACTGGTTTTAAATTTATCAGCTAACTTTTTTTCATCCTACTAGATGAAACAGGAGTGTCTGCTGTACAGTTTGGAAATTCATCAACATCAGTATTAGCTACGTTGGCAGCTTTAGCAGAAGCATCAGCTCCACTGTCTAATTCTTCGGAAACACCAGGTTAGAAAGCATTTAACCTAATTTAACAATTAAAAGTACATACAATTCAGCTTTCCTGTGGCACACAAAGTGGTGTGGTAAATAATACTTACATGGATATAGGTACAAAAGGAGAGCAAGGAATGAATAATGACCATATTTATGGGGCTATTTTTCTTTTATATAGAGTAGCTTCTCTTTAGACAAAATTTCCACTTTTCTTTCAAGGTTTGAAGAAGTCCTTGCAATGTTTCCTTCCAGAACTAAAACCCCAATATTGAATTTGAAACAGAAAAAGATCAGAGCTGTTTGTCACAGCACCTAGTACTGGCACTTGCAACTGGGACTTTTCTGTGACAGTGGTCTTTCTTACTGCTGAGCCTGTGCTTGGAAGCCAAATCAAGTTCAGCACAACACCACTTATTCATGTGGGACTTGCTGTTTTGGTTTACTGAATAAACACTCTGTGAATGTTTAAGCAGTGCTATAGGACAGCGATCTCTGAACATAAAGATCTTCAGAAGACAATGACTGCAGTCATTATTTAAACTACAGAGTGATTTTTCTGTGTATGTTACATTGTAATTAATTTAAAAGATGAAAGCTTCAGGGTTTTATCTGCCTTCTCTCATCTTGAATGTCACAACACAGGTCTATAGGGTTTTAATTTCATCTCGGTAGATAGAAAGCACTCTAATGTCTGTTATTTTAATCAAAGGCTTTGCTTTTACCCTGACAAATTGAAAATAAAATACAGAGTTAGTGTGCTTGAATTTCTTTGATTGTGTTACTAGTGATCTTGCTCTTTGTCTCAGTATCTTGTTGTTTTAAAAAATAAGGGTGGTAGCACAAGACCCAAGCCGCAGCATATAGTGCAAACTGTCGTATATAAAGTTATATACATGAAATGTTTGGTTTACTTTTTAAGCTTTATCTTTCTTCTTCAAATATGTAAAAATGTCAGCTTTAGTCTTGTTTCATACTGTATGTAATAAAGTGGTGGGTGTGTTTGAAGTACTGATGTAGTACAGACAAAGCTCTGAGATTCTGTAGAGGTCCTTCAGTTTTTTACCATCTTAAAAACCGTTGTGTTAAGCAGAGAAGTCTGGGCTGGGTCCTGATGTATGGGTGGCAAGGCATTGGTTGAGAAGTAGTTTCAAGGTCGTATTTCAAGTTTAATTTTTTTTTTAATTCCACTATTAGTGTAACTTAGTCCAGCTTATTTATTTATAAGTAAAAGTTATTTATGTTCTTAAAAGTAGCTCTTCTTACTGCCATGTTAACACTGAACCCAAAGTATCAGTTTTGAGTGGAGTATATCTATTAGCAAAATGCTAAAAAAAATTATTATATTGAGCAAGGTAGACTAGGACAGTGTTGCATATATTTTTCAAAATGTGAGTGCTTTATGTTGGCCTGGTGAAAGATTTCTGTTAAAATGTAATATGCAGTAATGTATTAATTGAGGGGGGATCAAATTTAAAAAGTTCTGGAAGAAATTTTTTCTCAGTTGTACCAAAATGCATTTGAAATTATAAAGTTTAATTTATAAACTGACTTAATTTCTTCACTAATCTGTTGATAGTTGTAGCCACAGAAGAAGTTGTGACTGCAGAATCTGTGGATGGGGCCATTCAGCAAGTTGTCAGTTCTGGAGGTCAGCAGGTTATTACTATAGTTACAGATGGCATTCAGCTGGGTAACCTGCATTCCATTCCAACCAGTGGAATAGGGCAGCCCATCATTGTGACCATGCCAGATGGGCAGCAAGGTGAGTGCAGACTTGTATGATTCCAGATTGAGGAACTGTTTTAGTTACAGTAATAATGACTTGTCAGGTGCAAATAACCTGGACAATTTTGTGTACATCGAAGAATTCTTATACTACAGAAGACTCAAATGTGAGCTACTGCAGTTCAGTGGGTTAACACATGTCAGCTGAGTCTCTGCATTAGGAGAGAGAATGGAAGAATTACTAAACTGTATGGAGAAGAAATGGGACATTTAAGGAAAAAGTGATAACTCCTTGCTTTGCCTTCAATAAGTTTGATTCTCGCAAAGTTGTTACTAAAACTAGAAGGTGGAGTGAAATGAAGCCTTCTTCCAATACTCATGCTGTTGCCTTGCTGGAAATACAGTGGGGAGGTGACGCTTGGATTTAGAAATCTGATGCATGAAGCAAGCGCTGTGCAAGTCCCATGGAGTGTGTTCTTAACAGGACAAATGTCAAGTTTTAAAACAGCAGTGACAGAACCAGTGAAGCTAGGGTGACACAAATGTTCCTGTTGGGCCATATGTACTTTGTAGAAGCTGCTAGTGTGATAAGTGCTATTTTATAATGTGTATGTTTTGGGTGATTTAAGGATGCTCTGTCACCACTACTTAGATAAAAATGACTCCTCCTCTGGTTTCTTCGTAAGGACTGCCAGTGTGAAGCTTGGAGAGTTGTACACTGGAGACTGTAGATCTCAGTAACGAGGAATTTTAAAATTCTTTAGTAGTGTACAAGCAGCTAAAATTTTAGTAAATTTTCACCATACTGACTTTATAATGCACTTTATTACATAGCTGTGTTTTCAAAAGGAAACGTCTCTGCATTTTATTGCTGTTAATAAAATTACTTAAGTAATATGAGTTTTATATAGTGCAAATATTGTTTGAAGTAAATATATTTACATGTACAAATATGTTTTCAGTATTAACAGTCCCAGCAACAGACATTGCTGAAGAAACTGTGATAAGTGAAGAACCGCCAGTGAAGAGACAGTGCATTGAGATTGTTGAAAATCGTGTGGAGTCTGCAGAAATAGAAGTAAGGAGTATATTACATGATCTGTGTTAAACAGTGTTCAGCACTGAGTATCTGGTTGCGGTTCAGGTTAATTTCTGTGTTACCACAGAACGAAGTGTGTGAAACAATAATTTGTTCAGTCTCTCCTGTTACTGAAAGTTGTCTTTTACAAAGTTGTAAAAAGAAAACAGGAGGGCTGTTTGCTTCATCCTGTGGTCATGCATGTAGAAGTGACACTTGTTTAAGTTTATGATAACATAATTTTTTTTGTTTTTCCTCTAAGGTCACTGGCTAGTTTTTAAAATTGGGCACCGATATATTATCGAGTGACTTGACTCTTTCCGCTGGGGATGAATGAGAGAACTGTATCCTCATCTTTCTGTTACAGCCACATGCTTGTCCTGATTGTGAGATCATATTTTTAGCAATGTTTCCTTTCCATTCATGATATCTAGATAACTGTTGATGGAAGTGTGAAACAGTAAGATTCTGTGTTTGTCTATTTTTATCTGTATGTCATCCCCTGCCTTTTTTTTTAATTCCGAAGCAATTTACTATTACACAACTTTGCACTATCCGTTTTTTTTTAAACTATAGTGCAAAAGACCTACAACTGTTGAGAATGCTTTTCTTTTTATATGACAAATAGCTGTAGCAGTTCAATTTAAAAATGTAGCTTTTTTTATATTAGCCACAATAGGTCAACCATCTCATTCCTTCTCCTGTTACTTCTAACTGTGCTGACCAGTTTTGGTCAAAAGGTTATGAAAATTGCTGTCTGCTTTGACTAGACTGTAAGTTCTCATTTTGTCAGCTCCATGATATTTCATTTATCTAACATTGTAGTCTCCAACTTCTGTTCATATTATCAAATTGTGCCTAATTGAATACTTTTTGTTGTACAGTGTGTACTATATGTTATCCATATCTAATAACAATAATTACCATCTCTCATCTCTTGCTTTCCCTGTCTCTAAGTTGTCACGTCAGATACTTTTGGCCTCGGCAGCTTTGTGGTCATTACAGATTATCCTGACAGTTGAAATTTTCTTGCTGCATTTTTTAAAGTGTATGACTGTTACAATAAAAGCATTTCTTTGTTCACACTTTTAAAAATCTGCCTGAATTATTCGTAAAGGAAATTATGTTTCCTTAAGTATTTTAATAATTCTGTTAGGTGAATTTAAAAAAATACAGATTAGTTAAGGAATAAATTGATCTGTTCCTGATTAGAGATAGTTGGTATAACAGTACCAATAATTCTTTTAAGGGGATTACCAGTTGCAATTTTATATGTTGAACACTTTTCTCAAATATAAAAAGAAGCTGGTTTAAATGAGTTATTTTGCCTGTTACTTTAAAGTGCAAGTTTTGATGACTGACCTGACCCTGCCTGTACAACTGGAATTGCAGATCTCTGCCTCTGTGTGGAGGACAGTTAACTTTAGGGACCTTATTGTGGTTCACAGGGGTGTGGTGCTACCTTGCTTTGGTAGCAGTGACATTAAAGAAGTGCACGTGAAGTCGCTTCACTTCAAATTTCTTTGTCACAGGCAGTGGTAGATACTTGAATTTGGAGAGAGTGGGCCCCCTCTCCTCGTTAAATTATTTTTAAAATATTTTAAAATATAGAAATAAAGAAAACCTTAATTATTTGGTTTCTTTGCCTCACACTGATTCATTCCTTTATTTCATTATAAAGAGTTAATTCAAGGCTGAATCCTTTCTTCAGCTGTTTTAAATTCATAGTGTGTGAACAGTTAACTGTAGTTTCAAAGTTTCTGTAAGTTGAAAATCCTCCCATTCATGTGAAGTAACAAATTTTCCTGTGAAAGTATTGTAAAATGACTAAAACAGTAGTGGTGTTTTTATATTCTCTTTTCTGGGTCTGTTAAGTTCAAACATTTTGGCTCATTTTGAAGAGTGATAGTTTTCCTAAGCAGTTGGATATTTTAAACATGGGATGGCAGCAAAAAAAACCCTGTCACACAGATACTCTGTTTTTCATTTCATGCATAGTTCATTAATGTACAGTGATTTTTATTTTCATTCTTTAATTTGACTGTTTTTCACATGATGTATGTTTGAAAGGTGACACATGCATTACAACCAGAACAATAATTTCATTAGACTAAAAAATAATCGTAGTTGTAAACTAATTCTCTTAGTGAATTCATATCCCTGTTTTTTTCTGTTGTTCAAAAGAGTGGTTTGGTTATTTTAGTTACGGTCTTTCCTGTTGTCAATATTTAAATTGTTAAGAAAAGTTATATGTAATGAAGAAAATTCCCAGATAAAATGGAAGATTGCTTAAGGGCACTGAGGATCCTCTAATTTGGTTTTTACCTGGGTAGATGTTTATATGATAGAAAAGGACTTCAGATCTTTAGAAAGCTTTCAGTTGTGTTCTAAAGAATGTCCCAAGAACACTGTCTGGGTTTGATTAAACTAACATCAGATACAGTCCTCCCTATTCTAGATGTCAAAGTTAAGGAACCACTTTTCACTGAGTTCACTGTAGATAATTGCTCCTCTGCAAGCGTTGGGTTCTTTCCACTGCTGTCACACAGTATACTTGGCCTCAGTTCCTTAACTCATTCTGTTTGTGTTGGGACAGTCTAAAAGGTACTCCTATTAGCTGCTGCTCTAATCTACGTGCTTTGAATTGCTACTCTGCCTAGTAGATACTGGTTTTATCTTGGCCTTGCCCTTTGAGACTGGGGTTTTTTCCTTTTTTTCTTATCCCATCCTTAATATGCTATAATACTTGTGGGTACACAGCTCTAGTTCTCTCTTCTGTGGGAAATACTCTTAAGATGTGGTCTGAGAACCTCTCCACCCCCAAATGTTTGCAGTGTGCACACACTCCATGGCAGTGATTCCACCCCCAGATGTTTGCAGGGTGCACACACTCCGTAGCAGTGATGGCCTCTTGCTGTTTGTAATGCACTGCAGAACTACTGGTTCTTATTCTACCAATGGTTCTTATTCTACTGCAGCCCAGTAGATAGAGCAGCTTTGCTTCATGGCAGTATTAGGTTTCTGATGGTTTTTATGAGACGAATACATGGGATAGATAATGCCCAGCTCAGTATATCCCAGCCCTCCAAAGGCTGCTTTCCACATGTAGCAGGATCAGCTGTTTTGACTGCTTCTCTGAGAATTGTCTTGTAGCTCTTTGCACCAACACTGTCTTCCACGTGGCTGTTTTATGTAAGCTGTTGGCTCCCCTCATACTACAGAGATACCTTACGGCAGTAGCAGCGCATTTTGCTTGGACTGGTTCTGGAACATCGTTGGTGTGTTTCAGATCCTCTGAGGTACAGGCTCTACTGTTCATGTGGCATCTGTCAGTCTAGTTGCTACATGGATTGACTGCTCATAGAGTTGTTTAAAAAGCAGAATGCAAATTTTCAGAGGTGAAAGCTGAACTTCCTTTTCAAATAAAGTAAGGAAGATCAGATGAGCTCTCCTTTTATTAGCGTGTGCTTCAAATGAAGCAAACCCCAGCTTGCTGCCTTCAGTCTTAAAGCCCTATGGAAAAAGAAATTGCAGTTACTGTTCTGTATTCTAGCCAGCCTTTCTAACCTATTAGTAACATCTCTCCTTCACCTGTTGTTTTTGCTGTACAGGTGCTGCTGTTAGGAATGATCTGATCACCTGTGTCATTGTATTTCAGCACATTCAGCACAGCATGTGACTGCTAAATGTGACTGTGACAAGTACTGAGAACAGTAGTGAGTTGAAGGGAGGCAGAGTATTTTGTATTTTTCTGACCATGAAAATATGTGAGTGCATCAGAGATGAAGAATAGGGATGCTGTTATGGGAGTGTGGGGGGGTGAAACTTCTAACAACTGTTGGAGGTATTAAATGGGAATGTGATACTGAACTGCTGGGATGAGAATAAACTGAAAAGGCAGCTTATTTTCACTGGGCCTCAGTTTTTTGATAAGTTTTGTTTTTCTGGGAGATGGCTTGCTTCTCTGACACCCTTCCTTTCTACTCCTATTTAATGATTACAGTGGAAAGAATGATTTTAAATCTAATACTACCTTACTCATAAAGTATGATGCACTTTAATGAAATGGTATTTGGTTGAAGATCAAAACAAAACTATTTCCCAAGCAAATTGCTTTTTCAATTGGGCTCAGTGCAACATCAGACAAAATAACAGTACCTACATCACTGGAGATGAAAATGCATTCTCCTTAGTTCCGAAGGCAGCTTCAGAGGAAGTGGCATTTCCGATATAATTTTGCTTGGAAACCATTTTATACCCATTCCCAACAAACTTGTATACAGAACTTCTGCAATTACTTCAGTAAGGATTTTTTCAGTTACTGCTTTTGAATTGAAAAACCTTATCTGGCTAAATGCCTGTTAATTCATAAAGATGTGATATCCTTGGGGATGTAATTATAACTCTGGATTGCATTGAATCAATCATTGTTTATAAAGACCAGTGAGATGTGTATTTTGGTCAGTGGGCAGCTGACACTCTCCAGCACAAACAGCTGTTAGGTAGCAGTTTTTCATTATATTATCTGATTAGAAATAAAACAGCAAGGGACAATCCTGTTAGAGTGGATTCCAATTTTAAAAAGTAACAAAGGGAATTGAATCATTGGAGAAATGTTAATATATTATGTGAATATTTAATCACCGTGCTTCCACTTCTTTTATTTAGCTCTTTTTTGATGAAGACTTGAGTGGTACCTTTGCAGCTCAATAGACTCAGTTTTACTGTATCCACAGTTGAAGCCTTGTTGTGGGGAATTGTCTGGTGTTATAATTCATGTCTAATTTGCACAGCAGCATTCATACAGGTCTGCCTGAGTAAGAACTGAACAGTTCCTACATGATACCCTAACACTTGAGCTGCATGTAAAGGAAAAGTATTTGCCTTTTTAACTTGTATGTGATACTTATTTGACAAAGTATTGCTGGTTCTGTTTCTAATAGGAAAGAGAAACTCTTCAGAAACAGCTGGATGAGGCAAACAGAGAAGCACAAAAATACCGTCAGCAGCTTCTAAAGAAGGAACAAGAAGCAGAGGCCTATCGGCAGAAGTTAGAGGCAATGAACCGCCTCCAGACTAATAAAGAAGCTGTTTAATAAAAAATGAACACACTGCAAAGCCTGTTACTTTCAAAAACCTGCAGTACAATCTTGAACTGTACACTGTATAGGTACAGACATGGGATTTCATGATAGAGAAGATGCTACAAGTTGATAACTGGACTTAAGCCGTGAGCTCTGATTAATTTCTTGTAACATAAAAACTCGAATTTAGAAATTGTGAAAAGTATTTAAAATGAAATACTGTAAATAGTTGGTTTTTTTACAGTTTCAAAATAAGTTGATAAATCTTTTTGAAGGGATCCAGAAACATGAAAAGCCAATGTTTTTGTGAAATTTTTGATTTTAGTATGAATCTACTTCTGAAAAACAGAACAGTTTTAAGGGTGATGTTGATTTAAGCTTGAAAATTGATTATGTGACAAAATTAATTAACAGTTATTTCTACATGATAACAACTCAAACAACTTCTCTGAATAAGACATTTCCAGGTGGAAATCTTTGTACAGCTTTAAGTAGTTGTCTCAGATTCTCTGAAAACCATTTTTGGTTTTTTTTTATTTTAGGTGGTGAAATTTTTATATTTAATTTCAGATATATCCAAGTAGATTTACATGTATATGAAGCTAATATTTTTTAAACTTTTCAGTTTGTACATATGCTGCATGTTTTTATAATTTCTACACATACATCTTGCATAGGTATTTTTCAGCAAAGATGAGAAAAATTATGAGAAAAATGTTTAGCCTATAGGTCATTTGAAGTAAGCTAGCAGCCAGTTTTATCGTGGATGGTATATTTCTTGGAAGAATGTAATTTGTAATTAAGAAGAACAAAAAAGAATCTTAATTTACATATTAAGAGGCAAAATTTGGTAGTGGAGGCGTTGAAACTTCACTTTGTGTGTCTTACAATTTTCCTGTACAAACATTTTAAAGTTCAGTAATGAATAGAAAAGAATGTCTCCACTGGAACACCAATAGTAGTTATTTTAGAATATTCCTATTGATCTCTCTTCCCCAATAGCCTTGAAATTACTTCAGTGATACATTTTTTTCTGAACAGACTTTTGCATTTTAATTATGCCATTGGACAAGTAATTTTTTTATGTTGTAGTGATGCTCTTCCTACCCAGCATCATTGTTCCTCACTGTGATACTGTGTTTGTGTGTGTCTGTGCAGTGATCTATTATGCTTAAAATTTATATGGCACGTTACATCTTCAGCGCATTGTAAAATCTTTTAAAGAACCCTTTCCTACACTACCTGAGGCAGGTAAGTGTTATTGTCTCAATTTTATAACTGGTATAAATGCAACACAAGGGAGTGGTAAATGACTGGCTTAACACCACATGAACCTGTGGTCACCTGGGAATGGATCTCAGGAGTTCCTGGCTTCTAGTCCTGTGCTTAGACTGAGCTGCCTTAAGATTGTTCAGTGCTGTGTTACATTAAATTTTGAACTACTGTGCAGATTCGTTTTTTGTAAGATAAAATTCTTTGTGCTTTGCTTTGTTGTTCCATGTTCACTGCTTTTATGGAATTGTTTATATAAACTTAAGCAAAAAGTCTGGTTTATCTATACTGTACACGGAAGAATTACCCTTAAAACTGTACTCTGGCCTACTTTTTCTATTTTACAATTAAATATCTTTTCCACATATATATAGTGTAGAATCAATTCCATTTCAGTTGTTTTGTGTAATCATTAGAAGGTCAAAGCCTCTGTGTTGGGCACTTGGAGAAACATGAAGAAACAGTTTTAGGCTTAGAATGGCCTTAAGTGTTGGGAGGGAGGAGTGGGCAGAAAATTGCATTGTACTGTAGAAAACTTTGTCAAACAGGTCAAAATTTGACTTGAGTTTGTAGAATTGGCAGTTAGGAAAAAATTCTAAATATCCTAGTGTCGTTTACCATAGTTGGTAAATTTGATCCTGATTGGCAGATTTGACCTAAAAAGAATCAAAAGATAATAAAAATGAAAAACCTGTGGTGATGGGTTTTCGAAGAACTGTTTTCAAGGACATAATTATGCTGGTACTAGGACTTGAAGAAAGCCTTGTGCAGTGATTACCTGGAAATTGCTCTGGTTTAGGGATTTTTTCCGGAACTATACATAACGTCACCAGCAAATGCAGAAACCAGTTAGTCGAGATAAATGTGCTGCTTAGGCATTGTTCCAATTGAATTATTCTGTGATCAAACTAATGTTTGTGTCCTCACATCCCACAAAATTGATGACAGTGTAATCTCTGTGAGTTCTTTATAATGATAAGAGTCTCAGTCTGAGTGGTGAGAGTGGTGACGTTCACATCCAAATGGAGAGTTTCCCACGGTTGGGACAGCACAGACCTTTGTAGCAAATAATGCAATGAACCTTTTCTAATCATTCTGTTTCCTGTGAGCAAATATTCTATTCCTCATCGTCCATAATGAAATCCTACTAAGTGCAGGGTAGCTATAACAAAACCTTATTTATCACCAGCAATATTTACCCTACCTGTAATTCATTATCACCTATTTTCTAGTTCTGAACAGGACCTGCTGTTCATTCTCTTCTGCACAGAACAAGAGACCAAGCTGATGAAACTGTCACCTTTGAGCAAGGCGTAGGGTATATGTCACGTGAAATATTTATTGTATATTTTAGCTCTGAAAACATTGTTAAAAATATTGTTCCTTATTTGCTGTTCCAAAGTAAAAACAAAATGTAATTAGCTACCATCTGTTTCTTTGAACAGATGTCCATATATTTTAAGTATTGGTTACTTGTAATGAGCTAGAATCACAGTTCTGGGGAACTTTGGGCTCTTCTTGAGTTGGTCCTGTGCTTGATGCACCTTCTCACCTTCCTTGTTCCCCTTATCATTTACAGTAAAGCCAAGAGAAGTTTCTAAATTGATATGAAGCGTGTGGGCAGCTTGTTACTTATCTCCCGATGTTTCCAGAGAAATGTGAGAAAACAGATTAATATGCATGTAGAATTTTTTTCATTTCTTTTAATGCCTTTTTATCAATTTGGATTTTTTTATTTCAGTACATTAATCTGATGTGTGTGTATCAGAGCATCTTTGACATATCTAGAAAACAGTTCCTTCTCAAATATCTAATTGCAACAGGAACTAGGAAGTTTCACACTGTTCTGTAGACATTTTGCTGTGAGAACAATATAACAGCTTTCTAGAAATATGAAAGCATTTGGGCTGTATTTGGGTGCATGAGGCAGAGAATTCAAGCTGCTCTGGCAGCCAGTTCTCTTCTGTGAGAACAGCAAAACTGCTGTCTTGTATCAGATGAAGGCTCTGCCTGATCTGGTGTCCTGTCTACAGCAGGGCCTGCCCTGAGCAGGAGCCTAAGGTATAGCAAAAATAGGGCAAGAATATATTGTACTGGTAGTAGTTTCTCTTCCTGGTGCTTAGTCCACAAATCCTACCCCTCTCTTTGCCCAGGGCTGCTTGGTACAGTGTAGAGCAAGTGAAGATGGTAAGTGCTCAACAGTGAGTACAGTGTCAAAGGTTGTGCTGGCAGAGATAGGTCAGGATGTGTTTTCAGGCCCTAAAACTGGAACAAGGGGGAATCCACATGGCTGTCCTTTCAAACAGAACAATCCAGGTGGAGGACTTGGAGGAATTCTGGAGAGACAAGACCAAATCCCAGTTCTTATGTGTATCATATGTGAGGAAAGCAAGCATAATGAGGGGAAAAATATGCATTTTCCCAGCTCAGCAATCTAGGGTGATATCCATGGAGGAACATCACCCTGGTCTGTGTAACCTGCTCTGATCTGGAAAGGCAGGAAATCCACTGAGAAGATCATCGCTGTTTTGTATTGCAGTTCTGGAACTGGCAATAGCTGTAAAGCCTTTCCTTTTAGCAGCATGGGACTGACAGCATAAAGACTGAAGATTTGTGGGGATGTAGGTATATTCTTATTGTTTTGGGAATTCTCAAAACAATTCTTAAAAAAAACTCCTTCCCTGTCTGCAGTGTCAGATTTGTTCTGTGCTGGTGCCTTGTTTGAATGACTAGCACAGTAGTTGGGTGTGCTGGTGTTAACATATGCTGGCTTTTATTTGGTTTTGGAAGTTCTTGAGCTTTTTCTCTCCTACAAGTCTCATGTTAATGTGCCTTATATTCATGATGTGGATTACTTGTGAGACTTCTGAAAGATTGACTGAAAGTGGGAAAGGGTTAGTGCAGAGGCAGCTCCTCTTAGAGATACACTATCTTACACATCAAAAGGGCACAGATGAGAACATGAGAGATTGTAAAAGCCCTCAGTTGGGAGGAGTTAGATAAACACTCACCAATAACCTGCCTACGTTAAACCTTTTCCAGAATGCGTGAGTCTGAGAGATAAAGGGAGCTATAAAGGGGGAAGCAGCCAGGAGGGCACCAGAGTGAACTGCCCACAGCTCCCGAGAGATTGTGGCCCAGGTTTGGAGGTGCTTCTGTAAGGAATCGGCATGGAGCCAGAGGAGTACAGACAGAGAGGTGAGTGATCCTTGGCTCTTGCAAATAGGTATCACTTGCTCATGGAGATCAGCTATGGTAGGGCTGGGAGTGGTCCCCAAAATTAGGATGGGCTATATACTCTTTATTTGCACACATGTTCTTGAGACTTGGGTCTGGTGAGGCTAAGACAAAAATGTGTCCCAGGATTGAGTGTAAATGAATGGATTTAGAGTCCATGGGTAACTTAGCCTTTTTAGTTTTACTTTTAAGATAGTGTGGGAAAGCTGCAAAACTGTAATTCTGAATAAACTTGTGCTAAGGGTTTATGCACAGTGGCTTTTCCCCAGCTGACACTGTGATACTGGTACAGTTCTGGACATGGGGAACAAACTTTAGTTCCAGGGGTGGAGGAGATTGCCTTAAAAAGTGGAGAAGAGGTGTGGAGCTATGCAGCTGTTTTCAGAGGATGCAAAAGGTGGTATGCTATAGTAACAAGGAAGTGTAGGGCATTATGAAAATTTAATTCCTATGAAGTGCAGTTTCAGTTAATTTTTAGGCAAGAAAGTCTAGCCTCTCAGTAATCAAACAAACTGTTCTTGTACCCTGACTGTGTTTTAAAGGTACATTTGAACTATTCAATGATGACACTGAAATAACCCTGTGAGTCTGTTCTGTCCCCATGAAGCCTGTTCTGGAAGCTGTGTCCCTATGTTATTAGATGGGACCAGTAGGGTGTAGGAGGGAGGTCAGTTCCTCTGGCTGTGCTGGGAGCAGTATTCCAATGCTAATGACAGGTTGCGTGGAGTGCTGGTACTGCTAGGTAGTTTTCACATAATTGAAACTCAAAACACTGGTTTACCTCTTCCAGGGAAAGAGATGGTGGATTACATTTGCCAGTACCTGAGCAATGTGAGAGAGAGACGGGTGACTCCCGATGTACAGCCAGGTTACATGAGAGCCCAGTTGCCAGATTCTGCCCCAATGGATCCAGACAGCTGGGACAACATCTTTGGAGATATAGAGAAGATTATTATGCCAGGGGTAAGCAATAAAGTGTAATCATGACAGGAAAAAGCCCTTATTGCCTGGGGTGAACACCAAATCCTGGGAATGCACAGGTTCTGCAAGAACATTCATCTAAATGAGTAAAGTACCCAAAAACGTAGAATAAGTCTTGTAGACATTATGTCCACAGAAGGATTCCAGAGATTACTGTTGTGTTCCTACCTATAGTTTTAGGGGATAGACTGAATGTATTTTTGAAGTATGTTATACATTAACTCATATTTGCTTATAGGGAAACAAATTCACCAGTGTCAGAAAATCATTAGCTTCACAATGTCTCTACCTGCTGACCTGTATAATATCTATTTCAGAGATGTGGAAACTTGGGCACAGCAGTTGTGTACATGTAAGACCTGTCTCCTGTTCTTTGAATGTAAAGGTCTTGTTTCTCTTATACATAAGTACTGCAGATTCTGCTAAGGGAGTTCATATTATCAAATTACATGTTTTATGTAAGAAGTCCTTTCACAGTCTATTCTCAAATTTTTTTATAGATGTTTGCAGAAAGTTGATCTGATGTAGGAGAGATATTCACATTACACAAGCTTATGCTGATGTCCCACATAGAAACTCCTTCAGGTGTATAGAGGGGTTTATATAGTTGTAGGTTGCTATGTGTAGCTACTTATTTTGTTTGACAAAATGAGTAAGAGCAACTTTGTTGCATGAATTCCCTTTATAAAGATAATCATTTTGATAAATCTTTCTGACTCTGGTCTTTTGAACATGGCACAACATTCTTTCCTGTTCAGAATCTTTGTCTGCCTGTGTAATTCAGATAAATGCTTTTGCTGTTGTTTGGAATTTATCTAACAACGACAGAGTGTTAGTGCTGCACTCCTATTGATACTATCTCTGCAGCTTTCTGCTAGCAGATGTATAGTTGCACATATTATGTTGCTGTGATCCTTTTCCATTACTTTAAAGATCTAATGATAACTGTTACATCTCATGCAGAATTTTGTGACATTTCCAGATTTAACTTCTAGATAATTCTGTTCTAGGTAGTCCATTGGCAAAGTCCACATATGCATGCCTACTTTCCAGCTCTTACTTCCTGGCCTTCACTCCTTGGAGATATGTTGGCTGATGCAATTAACTGCTTGGGATTCACATGGGTAATTTTTTCTTTTTGGCTATTTTAGATATTCGTTTCCTGTGTGTAATATGCAAGAGCAGTTCATAGTCATTCTTTCTTGTTTTCTGAGTCAGTCTAATTGTTTGCTTTAACCAACTGTATGTTGTTTGCATAAGTGAAAAATTCACTTAAAAAAAAACAACTCAAAAGGTTACCTAGTAGTAAGAGGTGAATGAAGAAAATATACCACTAGAAATGTCTGTTTTCTAATTCTTTGCATATCCCACTGTGAGCATTGTTCCCAATCATCTAATCTCAGTGCCAAGATTGTTACACAAGCACTGCAGGCAATAAAGCAACCACCATCCATGACTGCAGGCTAGATTGGGCTCCAGTCCAGTTCTCCTGCTCCTTTGAGAGAACACATTTCCTACTTTTCCTCTTCTGAAAATAATTGTTTGGTGGCCTGGCCCAAAATACCTGAGTATTTTGTGTCCTCCTGCAGCAGCTACACAGCGCTACTTTGTTATAACTCTGCTTACCTCAGTAGCCTTCTGAAGCCAATGTTCTCCCCAGTGGTGAAGTTGCCCAGATTTTTAGGTGTGTCTCTCTCTGTAAGAAAGCAGTAGAAGCTCATAAACCCATAAGAAACTGATGGGTATTGTCTCCATGTAGTTGTATCAGATCAGCTTGTTGCCTCTCTTAGCTCTCAGCTGGAAGAGGGATCAGGGCCCAGGGTGAATTACAGTCTGATTCTCTTTTTTTTTTTTTTTAATTTCTCCAGGCCTCCAGTCCAGCCTGTACAGAACTGGAAATGAACGTGATGGATTGGTTGGCCAAAATGCTGGGACTTCCAGAAAAATTCCTGCACCACCATCCTGACAGTGTGGGTGGAGGAGTATTACAGGTAGGGGACATTGGAAGAGATCTCATCAACGTGTTGTTTTCACTCAGGTGAATTTCCCTCTGGGTGATAGTTTTCCTAGAGGCAAAACCAACAAGATTCTCTGTATGGGTCTGAATAGAGACAAATCCCAATTTGGCATTATTTTCCCAAATTTTAGTATAACGTAGAAGATTATAAAATAAGAATTGCTATTGCTTTTAGTGCTAACTGTGTTAGGGGCAAGCAGCAACCACTCTTGTGGCCTTTCTAAGCATAAATGAGAGTCAAATTTCATTTCTTCAGTCTGTTTCACATCACCAAATTATGTACTAAATTGATTCTTATGTAATTAGAGAAGGAATCCTTGTCACTAGCCTTCTGCCACAGTCCTTAGCCACACAAAAAATATTTTTCCTTTTTGTCATGTCTACTTTGTGTCTCTGAGAGGTGCAAGATCAAGGCCTGAACCTTACCTCCTTTTGGAAGGCTTAAGCAAGTATCCTGTGGAATCAGTGTTGAGGTTCTGTGTTGTTATAGGGGGTTTTGCTTACATTTGTAATTTTATGGGAAATAGTACATTTTATCCTTTTGTAGAACAAAAGGAAAATATGATTTATTTACTCCCCCCAACTCAGTCCTGCACATTAAAAATATACAGCAGTTAAAAGGCTTTGTTTTGTGTTCCTGGTCCAGAGAGCTGCTCATCAGTTAATGACTTTCCACTGCATCATAGAAAAGCGGTAGTAGGAATGAAAGAGGATGTGGGCAGCTGAGTACTGACTTCAGTAAATCCCTGGCAAGATAGCAATGAAGTAGCAGTTGCAGTAAATGAGCAATGTCTTTACAGAGCACTGTGAGTGAATCCACCTTGGTTGCACTGCTGGCAGCAAGGAAGAACAAAATTCTGGAGATGAAGGTTTCCGAGCCAAATGCCGATGAGTCCTCGCTCAATTCTCGCCTCATCGCTTATGCATCTGATCAAGTAGGTTTTTATGATTACAAGGAAAACAAATGTGCTCCTGCTGTCTCACTCAGACTATGCAATGTGAACTTGCATTTCTCTACCAAGAGACAAACACAGGAATGCCTCACAAGCATGAACCAGTTCCTCTAATACTGCTTTCTGCAGATGAGGAAACGAAATCAGTGTGAGGTGAGGTTTTGTAGGGTCCTGGCAGTCCTCAGGAGGCCGTTCCACATGACTCATTTCTAAACTTCCTTCCTGTTTTTCACAAAGCCCTACCTCAGTAACTAGGTGCTGATCTCATGCTGCTCCAGCTCTTGTTTGTTTGCAGCCTCCTTCCACTCAGAACAGGAACGCTCAAGGCGCTGTTACCTCAGTGCTGCTCCTTGCTGTGGGCTCCTCTCTGGGCCTCTGCCTGCAAACCTGTTCTGTCCCTGGGCTCCTGAACTAAACAATTGTATTTACATGTGAAAACTGCAATAGGAGGGACTGAAAGGACTTTTTCTTATGAGGTGTTTTGGTCTACCCAGAAGTAAGCACACTTTGGGGGATTTATCTTCTTATGGCAGGGAGGAGGGAATAAACTGGGGATGATCTATTTCTAGAGGCTCCTTTAAGCACTGAGTTTCGATAAATGGCCCTTCAAACACAAGGTGAGGATGCCTATCACTATATTTTTTTTTTTTAGAGACAAGTACCCAAATAAATGAAGCATTCCTTGGAATTACAGTGTACTATTTCTGATAGATACTTACAAAGACAACACTTTCAGACTTGTATTAATATGGATTACAATAAGGACGTTACCTCTGCATTTCTTGCCACTACTGTGTTTCATAAGGCCATAACTTACCACAGCTGTTCAGCCTTAGAGCTTGAGTTCTTACTGTTTTTCTTATTTTAAAGGCACATTCTTCTGTAGAAAAGGCTGGCTTGATTTCCCTTGTGAAGATAAAATTTCTGCCTGTGGATGAGAACTTTTCCCTCAGAGGTGAAACTTTGAAGAAAGCCATTGCAGAAGACAGAAAGAAAGGCCTCGTGCCAGTCTTTGTATGTTCAACTTTCTGACTGAGGGTATTGGCATAGTGTTGTATTCCTAATGTCAAGATAAAATTACATCTGAAACATTTCTTACTGTGTTAAAATACATTTACTGAATGTTAAAATGTATAGAAGTCTGTCTGTTTTATTGAATGTAAATGTTTAATGTTTTGACTGTCTACCTAACCTGCCCACTTTTAAAGTGCTGCATCCATTTATTAAAAAAACCCAATCCATCTTAACAGGTTTGGTTTCTTCTAGGTTTGTGCAACATTGGGTACAACTGGTGTCTGTGCTTTTGACAGTCTCTCAGAACTGGGTCCAATTTGTAAGTGTCTTTTTTTTTTTTCCTGATTTTAAACTATGAAAGCATATAAAAGATAGGGAGACTTTTGCATGCCAAAAACGAGAAGAGTAGAAACACTCATCAGCTGAGTTTTTCAGACATATCTCAGGGATCGCTGAAGTCAGTACAGGACTTTGCAGTGATTTCTGTAAGTTTTAGATTAGGATGCTAAAATACATTCTATTCAAGATGGATGAAATTTGCCAACTGATAAATCTTTAATGTGGTTATTCAGGAAATACAGACTGCGCAATACTGTTATGGGATGGATACATAAATATTTAACCTAGCAAAGGAGTTTTGAAAGTAGATTCTAGTAGGACATCCTTTGGATCCACCAGTTTCGTAGGTAAATTTGACATGATTGCAGATTCTATTCCAGCATCAATTCTGCCCAGTAGCTTAGGAAGACCTGAGATGCTTTCTCATATGGGTCAGATTGTGGCTTCTATTTCTGGTCCTTTTTGCTTGCCCCGCTGTCTTTGTTCTGGCTTTGTGCAACTGAGTGGTACTGGGGAATTTCACGTAGTAAAAGGGCAGGGGAGAGAAATCAATAGTTAAGAAGTTCCACTCACATCAAATATGAAATAGTGAATTTTGTTGTAGTGTCCACCTGATTTCAGCATTATCCTATATTTTGGGGTTATGGATCCACAGCTTTAGAATAAAACTAGATTGTCAATTGTTTGGCTGCCTCCTCCAAAAAAACGCACTTGTTTTTTCAGAGAGGAGAGATTAAGCACGCACTTTGATTCCTTATGTCCCTTACATAACAACAATCTCAATTCCAACAGGTGATGCTGAGGGACTCTGGCTTCATATTGATGCTGCATATGCAGGAACAGCATTTGTATGTCCTGAATTTAGGCTGTTCTTGGATGGAATTGAATATGCAGATTCCTTTACTTTTAATCCTTCTAAATGGATGATGGTTCATTTTGACTGCACTGGATTTTGGTGAGTAAAGGCAAAATGCAAACAACACCACAAGAATAACATGCAAATTGCAAAGTATTTCTCTGCACTTATTTTGCTAAACCCAGTTCCTTCTACAATTGATAGGGTTAAGGATAAATACAAATTACATCAAACCTTCAGTGTTAACCCTGTCTACCTCAGACATGCCAACTCAGGAGCTGCAATTGACTTCATGGTAAGTTATTATTTAAGTTGATATTTTATATTGCATATAAAATGTTCAAACAGACTGAAATTCCTCACACTCTGGAGCATGCTTATCTTATAGATGATCTGATTACATAAATCCAATTATACTTAGATCCCAATACAAAGTAAATAATAAAACTTTGCAGTGATTTGTGGTTATGAAGATTGACTATAAAATTGCTTTCAGATTGAAGTACTTAAGATTTTTACACAGATAGAGATCCAGCCCTGCCTTTTTAATGAGAAGGGTCATTTCTGTGCATTGTGTTGCTGAAGTAATTCCTACTGATGCCATTTTGGCTGAATTTCTTGTAACAAAAGAGAGAAAGGAGTAAGCAATGGAAACACGATGCTCTGAAACAGCAGGAGACTGAATTACATTTTTTTTCAGATTAAGGTATTCATAGGAGAGCCAAGAGGCATTTCACTTTAGATACCTCTTACAGCAGATTTCAGTACAGTAATACAAAGGAATATTCACTGCCAATTATTTCTGCTATGATCTCACCCTAGTCCTGAAAAGATAATTGTTTTCTTGAAATCAATAGTGCTTTTCACTAGAGTGCAAGTGGAGGGAGGGATGGAAAAAGAAGATATTGAGTCCCTCTTGTGGTTAAATGGGATCCTGCATGTGATTGTGTAGCTCTCTAGAAATACTCCTTTATATGTTTTCTCACTCTTTTGCTTGCAGTAGGTGCTACTTTGTCTGGAACTGCCTACCCCTGTATCAACTCTTATTCAGGATGGCACTTAAATATGCAAATTACAGGAACTGAAGTGAGCACTCAGTCCTAAAGTGTAAATGACCACATGTTAAATTGATCGTGCTCTTAAAATGCAAAAAGTTGTTGTTATTAGCTGGTAATTAACTTAAAATTCTAATCATGTCTAGGCCATAGATTAAGGGGAATAGCCAAAATCTTATTTTTGCAAATAATTGAAAAATATGGAGACACAGTGTTTCTTTGATAGCTGTTTCCTAGGCTTAGCAGATTTTCAGTAATATGACACTATTTGTCTCAAAAGAGATTTCTGACCTGAGTCTGAAGCAATAGGTGTAGCAGTGTAAGGGGAACCCTCCTTTCTGTTGTTTCTGCACTCATTGAGGCACTGTTGTGTTTTCACAGCACTGGCAGATTCCACTGAGTCGCCGATTCCGGTCTTTGAAGCTGTGGTTTGTGCTTCGCTCGTTTGGGGTGAAAAAGCTTCAAGCTCACGTCCGACATGTATGTGAATTAACAATGCAACCATACATGCGTTATGTTCGTTTCTTGGTAGCTGAGATTATTAAGTTCAGAGGTTCAAAGATGGGTAACAGAAATCCTCTGACAAGCAAAGCTTGCACGTGAACACTAAATGTGTGCTCTTAAGTAATCTGTAAAGATTAACTGCGTAGACAAAACGTTTCCTGTCCCCTTCTTGGAAGCAATAGGCAATGGCAGGCGAGTTGGTAAGTCACAGCCTTCTGCATGTTACTGAGTACTAATCTGTAGGAGCTTTCTTTGAGGCAGCTGTTTGGGAGGCAGGCTGTGATGAAAGGCTGAACCCACCACTGGGAAAATGTACAGGCTTAAGTCTCTGATGGAGAGTAAATACAAGGATCGTATTGTGGATCAATGGTTGCCGCAAAAGGACTCCAATCTGAGAAGGCACATTGTTTTCAAATGTTCTTCTAGAAAATCCCTATGTATAGTCCAATTACTCATGTTCATTGTCAAGGGTTTGGGCAAATAGACAGACTTTAAAATTCTTAACTTTGTTGTCATTCTTCTGTTTTCTGCTATTCATGCACTGGAATGATGTGTTTTAGTAAGGAAAGGAAGTCTTTTTAACTATCTAATTTAGTGTTTTACAGTGGGTTTGTGACAAACCAATATATAACTAGGGTTATAGGTTAATTAATTTTTTCTCAATTATAGGGTACTGAAATAGCCAAATTCTTTGAGTCCTTGGTTAAAAGTGATCCGCTTTTTGAAATTCCTGCAAAGAGGCATCTTGGACTGGTTGTATTTCGGCTAAAGGTAATGATTAGACCTTTTGTATGCCTCTTTGGAATGAATTGACCACAGCTGATCTCTCCCCAGACGTTAAGAACTGTGAATAAATTTTCATGTAAGAATTTGTGATCGCAATTCTTAGAGATGTTTGGATGTCATTGGAAATTCTAACTGTAGTATTTCTTTTTCTTATTCACATTTAAAACAGGGTCCCAATTGGCTGACAGAAAAACTCCTGAAAGAACTAAGCAGTTCTGGCAGGCTCTTCCTCATTCCAGCAACCATTCATGACAAGTTCATCATTCGCTTTACTGTAACATCTCAGTTCACAACCAGGGAAGACATTCTGCAAGACTGGAACATCATTCAACACACTGCAGCCCAAATTGTTAGCCATAATTATGGGCTGCACTGCATCAATTCTGATGATGGGGCAAGAATCCCTGCTATGGTAGTAGAGCCCAGTTCTGATGTCATTAGTAATGCTTCCCAGCTTTATCTAGATGGAGGGAAATCTAAACCACCTTCCAGAAAAACAGTAGTTCAGCCTAAGAAGTTATCGGTGAGTCCCAGTACGTGTGTGATTAGTCAACAAGTGAAAGGTCAAGGGGATCCTCTAGATGACTGTTTTCCAGAAGATGTCCAAGATGTTACCAAACATAAGTTAACCTCTTTTTTATTCAGTTATTTATCTGCTCAAGGCAAGAAGAAGACAGCACGTTCCCTTAGCTGCACCAGTGTGCCAGTGACTGGTAGTCTTGAGCAGTGTAACCCCAAAGCTGCAGCCACTGACAAGGAGGAGTCTCATGCAAATGCCAGGGTTCTTTCCAGCCTGCCTGAAGACATGATGATGTTCAAAAAAAGTGCCTTCAAAAAACTAATTAAGTTCTACAGTGTCCCAAGCTTTCCAGAGTGTAGCATTCAGTGTGGCCTTCAGCTGCCTTGTTGTCCTCTGCAAGCCATTGTTTAACAAGTAAGAGAGCTTGGTCCTTAGAAAGAGAACCAAAGTTTGCTTAATCATATGCAATACCACGTGTTCTTTTGTTCAATATGTAAGCAGTGGCAATGACCACTGAGAAAATTACTGTGCTTTTACTGGTGAAAACCTCATGTATTTATAGATGAAAATGTCAAATAAATCTTGTAGGCATATAACATGAAACCCTGTGTTTTGTAGACTGTGGTAAAGAAAATGCCAATTTCTGCCTCATCCCTCCTGGTAGTGGACAGTTTCCAGCTGGTAGGTGAACAATTTTGACAAAGTATACTGGCCTCAGTAGAGGGTAAACAATGTAGGTCTCTATTTGCACCATTGATTTTGGGTTTTTTTTGATACCTTGATTTGAGCTCTTTAGACTGCTGTGAGGATCTGTGTGTGCAGCCAGTGCCAACATAGTTCTGAACTATGCAAAAAGAAGGATGTAACTTCTCCCAGATATTTTTCTGCATTAGGGCAATTTTAAAGCTGACAGAGTTAAACACAGCAGCCCTGCCTTTCCATCTGTGCTAATCAGGTACCGTGCACAGGAGGCTTTATGCAACCATGTTGCAAGAGTAGTTGCCGTTGCAAAACACCTGTGGCCTTTCTCAGCATTACCTAAGGTCTGAAAATCACAAATTCGTAAGGAAAGAGGATAGGAATGATACTTAACCCTCTTTTACAATAAAAGAACTAAAGGGGCATTAGGGAAGAAAGAGTCTTTTATGCAGCAAACAAATGTATTGCTACAATAGGCCAATGATGTATGTATTTTTCAAAAAATAATGAAAAAATTGGGGGGAGAAAAATTTATTAAGGACAGATTTAAATTCAGAGATGTTTTGAGTCAGGAAGCACGATTGCTAGGAGATTATTCTGGGAAAGCACTGCTAGATGCTTGCTGCCTTCCTTCCAGACACCTACAGTCACCCCATCTTGAAGGCAGTGCACTCCAACAGATGGATCTTCCACATGATCCAGAACAACTATTCTCAAGTTATATAAACAATGAGCCTGGTTTATCAGAACAATGTCTGGACCCTTATACAATGTCAGCTAAACTTGTCAGCTAAGATAAGAGTTGGAGAAGTTCTGTTTCATTAAATCGATCTCATATTCACTCTTTATTTCAGATTCTGATATTTGCTAATATTAATAAATAGGATTTCATGGTAAGCTTAGAATAACAGGTGCTTTAAAAACTGAGTATTGTAAAACACAGATTTTTTTACATGCTTACAGTTTGAAGTCATGATTTTTTACTGAGTTATAAATGTCCTGTGTAATTTGTACATACAGGTTTTCTTTGTCATCCAGGAAATACAGGCAATCTTTGACTGCTGCATTGAAACCCTCCTCCATTAGTTGTACTTTACAGTACTTAAAGGTTGCTGTAAGTTCAATGGTGCTCTACAAAACAAAATTACAATTACAGTCATCAATGTCAGCACATAATTGTGGGAATTAGATTGGATTTCCTAAATTTAAAGGGAATAGTATTTAAAGAAAATCCATACAGCATGGAAGTCAAAGGTTTACTAATAGAGGTCTAAACTATCTCTATTCACCAGATAATAACTGAACCATGGAGTAGGTGGGCCAGTAGTTACTCTGAATGTAAGAAGTGCTGGGGCCTTAGAAACATTAGGTTTACCTTAGTATTCTAAGGTTTACCTGACAGGTTTACCTTAGTATTCTATGTAAATGAGGCATGAGAAAGTAGTTTTCAGCTTCTAGTCAGAGAGAATCAAGGGATTTATCCAGAAAATTATTTAATTATGTTCTCAGATCAAAAAACAGCAGAATTTTTTTCATAAAAGAAAAAAGAAAATGCCATTTGGAGACTGGGCAAGACTTGGTATACATTACATGGGATAGCAAGACAAAGCACTACCTTGACTGGTCAGCTGGTTTGTTTGTATAACTCAAAAGTTTAAAGATTGATTAAACAACAAGGCACAACTGGTGCTAGTCCTCTTCTCAGATAGGCAACCTTTCTGAAAGGAGCAATTTATCTCAACTTCCAAATACAGTAAGAGTGACATTCTTACAGCATTATCCTAATTCAAGTTAAACTTCAGTTTAGAATTTGGCTATTTATTCATTGGCAGGGTAAAAATCTAATGCTTCTCTTGCAAAAGAGCTCTCTTGCAAGCTTTTGTTTGTGTGTGGATCTTTATTTTGCACAAGACAGTCGGTGGAGGGAGCAACACTAACCTAAGAACACAGCTGTATTACTGTGTTGAAGATATCCAACAGGAAATGTATTTTTCAATGAGATCTTCCTGATTTTGTACATTAAAATGTTCTAAGTGTCCTGTAACTGCTCACACAACTTGTTTTTTTCAGGCTGAACTGAAACATCTGTTTGCAGTTCTACTCTTATACTGGTAAATGACTGGAGCAAGTGAGAAACAAAAGCAGCCTTTTTGAGAATCGCTATAGTGTAACTGGGAAGTTCAGGGTCCTCATAGGAAACAGAGAAAACACAATGCAGACTGATACACGACTAGGTAGAACCACTGGTTTACCTTAATCCTTATAAAACGAGGTCTTGCATAGTTTGGAAGGTGAGTGATGACATGTCTGTAAGTACTTTCTCCATTAAATTCACTGTTTTCTTTTAGTCAAATACAGGCCATTCCTGTTCTGCCTTCATAGCCTGTAGGAATAATGGCAGTAAATAATTGTAGTTTGTATATAAATCTGAACTTCAGGCTATCCTCTTTTGTTTTTTATTTAATCTTCTATCAGTGAACCCTTCCTTCTAAGCCATCTTAGAAAAATTCTAACATACTTTCCCTTAGATATCTAAGGAATTAGATTTTCTTAAGGCTTCAGCTTGCTGCATGCCAAATTCTTTTGAAAGAGCATCGGAATTATAGGTGGCAGGCATTTTGAAAGTCCCGCAGCGCCCGGGCCGCTTGGCAGCTCCCCCCGCCCCTATGTCCACACCTCGGCACGGAAGAGCAGCGGCGGCTTGGGCCGCGCCCGCCGCGCGAAGATGTCCCGGACGGTGCGGGCGGGACGGCGGGAACCCGCTCTCCGCGCCCGCATCTCCACCGGCGCCATGGCCAGGGCGAAGCAGAGGTCCTGGAAGAAGTAGGGCCCGGCGGAGCGCAGGAGCAGCGGCCCCGGCAGCGCGGTGCACAGCGCGGGCAGCATCACCCCGCAGAACCGCGGGTGGTACTGATTATTTGCCTGTTTCTGCCACTGTGTCAAGCAGTGCATGGGTTCCCCTTGACTTCAGACACGAAGTCCTAATTGCTCAACACTTATACTCAGCTTTAGACAATAGAATCTGTTTCATTAATAGGAAATATAGTTCATGAAATTTATTCACTACTCTTTTCTCAGTTTCTGTGCTCTATTCTCTCATTTGCTTTTTTTCCTGCCTACTTCTATTTTCAGTTCTTTGAAAGGGCCTTGTTGCTACAGTGCTCAATTGATCTATTCATAGAACAGGGAAGGAAGTTAAAAATAAAGAAAAGCTAAACCTTGTCAGATCCTATAGAGCTCCTTAGACCTGGGAAAGAGGCTTCCACTCTGCAGGTACCAACATCCAAGACTTTGCAGGGTTTGCCAAGAGGCAAGGATATCTTGCTTTGATCCACGAGATGTCACCAGCGGGCAACAAGTAACTGGAAATTTGCATTAAATTGGGATTCAGGCTCACCGTACAAGACAGGGAGCATGGGAAAGCCCAACACTCCTCATGCTGCTAACCACAGGATGCTCCAGGCTGCAGCATTTTCTGTGCAGACAGCCTCCTCTCTTTTCTCTTCAGTTTTCTCTATTGTTATGATTTGATGGGAGATCACACTGTAATGGTACAGACAGCATGCACCATTCTAGCTAGCTGTGTGACAACAATCATACCACAAAGCAACTCTTACTTAATTACTGGTGAATGGCAGAGAGATGGGATTCAGAGTGGATGATTTGTGGCTTCAGTGAACCTGTGTAACAGGCCAGCTGTGTTTGTTCTTTCCTTACCTGGGTCACCTGACACTTCCCACTGAAATTCACAGCTGGGTGTTTTTCAGGATTGCTAAACTGAAGCCTTCAAGGGTAATTTTTCAGTTTCAAATGTCTTTCTGTCGCATTTCAAATTCACAGCTACTACAGTTTCTATTAAATGCTTATTTGCAGTTTTACCACAGTTTTTCTGGAAGGTTTCAATCAGATGTGACAGGTTGACCTGATCTAATTCATTGGTGCAGCCAAAAGGGGTGATTCTGTTTCCCTGTCCTCCTTATGTGACCTCCTAACTCCACTGCCTCCCTTGCTCCAGGTCTGGTGTTCTTCTGACAGTTCAGTGATGAATTCAGCTCACTAAGCCAGCAGAAAACTGTGTTTTGCTGGATGAGCTCTGTTGACTCTCTGAGTAGAACTGGCTTTTTAAGGAATCATATTAATACCAATATTAGGACTAATACATAGGAAAGAATGAGGAAGTAATAAGCACCAGCTTGATCTCCCTTCCCTACATGCTACATCTCAAATTCTCCCTCTGTTCCCTCCCACCTTAGGAAGGAATGCAAGGTGTCTATTAACCAGGCAAAATAATTTTTGTAAATGTAAGAACCAAGTTCTTAGTCTACAGAGAGATAAATCACCAAACCTACCCACGGTGGAGTTCAAAGCCATTCCATTTTCACTCTCCCTGCCTGGCAGAGGTTCAGGAGATGAAGGTCAGTGAAATACATGCTCTGGCACTACTTAAACTGTGCTAACATCAGCAGTTTATTGGTATTTTTCCATATCTTTCCCCACTTGAGGGATGATGCTTACAAGTCTGTAATGCATCAGGATGTCTAGTAGGTCAGCTGGGTGAGCTAACTCACTGGTCCAGTTGCAGCTGAATTGACATCTTTGTTCACTGAAATAATTTGCAATCACCAATTTTGAAAAAAGTCTCCTTCAAAAGGAGTGAGCCACTCCTGTGAGTAGAATTTCCAAACAAGTTTTGTCTAATGAATTACCCAGGTCCCTCCTAAAATCAAGAAATCTTGATGTTATAGGGTGCCTTTGCTGCAGCTCTTTTATGTTCCTTTATGTTAATTACATTGCTTTTGAAAGATGAAATGGTGCAACCTGGCTGGAAATAAACATGCCATGACTTCTTAGACAAAACCATATAGACAGTCCAGATTTGTGTGCTATATATGCTTCT